AGAATAAATGCATGCATCGCAGAACACAAGAATGCAGTAAGAAAAAAAGAAAAAACGTCCTCCCTTTTCCAGCACCTTCAAGCTACAGGACATGAAATTGATTTCGAAGGAACCAAATTAATCTCCAAAACTGAACACTTCAACAAGAGAATAATTATGGAAGCTATCGAAATAGAAAAACACTCCCACAACATGAATAAACGTGATGATACCTCTCGCCTACCAGACATCTGGAAACCAGCTCTAGTCAACAAACGAGCCCCACCCACCACCCAGGCCGTTACAACACAAAACAACAACGGACACACACCCAGCACCAATCTACCAATCATGATACAACTACGCAGCCAATCAATCCACTTACTGAAACAAAGCCAGCACTCCACACACCCCCACCAAGATTTATAGAAAGACGGCAGCTCCGACCATGCCTTACTTACACAAACACGAAGCCGAAAACTCCAGCCTGAAGATGGCGAGTGAGACCTCGCCGAAACGTTGCCAAAACAATCACAATCTTACATGGGAAAAGACCCGAATACAACAAGACCAGCACACCTCCACCTGTGAAAATCTATGAAACATATATACACTGTATTGCCAAAAGTATTCGCTCACAACTGAGTCTGATTATGTGGATGGGTGAGGAAATACTTTTGGCAATATAGTGTGTGTGTGTGTCTGTATTATAGTACAAGCTTGAAATTATTTGAATGGTCTGTATTTGAAGAGGAAAAAATATAGAACATTTCCAATATTTTAGTCATAGGAGAAAATAGAAACTCAAAACAAGTTACCTCTTTTTCTTTTTTGTTTATTTGAGGGCCCCAAAAGTAGGTAAGCATTTGTTGCTACTAGCCTTTCATCTGTGGGAAATTCGCCAAAGCTAAAATGTATTCTGAGGTTCATCAATGCAAAACACAAAACAAAAAATATCAACCATACAAAAGCTCAGCATGGGTTAAAAAGTAACATTTTGTGCTTTTGGGGGAGGAGGGGGGACGTTGGATGAGCACTCATTGCCCCAGTACTGAATTATTACAATGAGGCTGAATTATATTGTGAGTTTAATTGTATTATCCTATTTTAGGGTGCAATACATGTCAACGACAAAGTTGTACCCCAGCCCCCTCTTCAGCGATTGTCTGCTGAGAAATTGACACGGGAAGGAGCTTTTCTTATGGATTGTGGCTTGGTGAGTTGCCCATTTAAAATATTATTTTTCATCTGTTTGATACAGCAGTTTCCTGTGCTCGTCTCCTCATTGCATTATGTCTTTAAATCCCTTTTTTATTTTATCCCAATAAAATCTTGATGACTTCATATGTTATCAAAGAAAAATGTATACTTTAATTACTTTGTTTCTAACACATTCTAGATCCTCTACATTTGGCTTGGAAGAAGTTGTGATAATAACTTCATTAAAGATGTGCTTGGGTATCCAAATTATTTGTCAGTACCCCCAAAACTGGTAAGAACTTATTTTATATCCAGCTAATACTTCCCAAGATGAGGCTATAGAGGAGTCATACAGGCATGAAAATGAAGTAGTTCTCAGTTCTTATTAGAGCTTGCCGGTTTTGATTCCCATCTTCATAATTTATTTTCTTATTTATGATATAGACAGTTGTTTCAGAACTTTGTTTATAAAAAGACAGCATTTAAATTAGATGAAAATAATAAATATAAATTATATTTTTATCACAACATTCTCAAAGTGTAATAAAAATGTGATGCTATCTTGAATATCTAATACAACAGCATATTATAAGTGTTTAATTTTATCACATTGTATTTTTCTAGACACAGCTTCCAGAATTAGATAATGTTTCTTCAGAGCGAACCAGGTCCTTTATAACTTGGCTGAAGGATAGTAAATCTTTAAACCCAGTACTTCAAGTAATTAAGTAAGTATTCATATATAGCATCCAAAAGGCAACATCACTTATATGAAATAGGAGTTTTCTGGCAAACTGTCCTTTGAATAGGTTTTTTTAAACAATGTATTCAGGAATGCTATCCCTGTTTAAATTTGTAATTACTTGGCATATTTATAAATTAGCTTGTTGGCCAAATATTTCCTGAGTTGGTACATTTGAAAGGCATCTGTTATGAGGGCTTGAGAACAATAGGTAGGAATTGAGAAGTGTTGGTGGGCATGACTGAAATGGCACTGGGATGTTTCAGAATATTTACCCATATTAATTCTATCAATTATCGACTCCTGCAGATAATTTTTATTTTTTTTTCCTCCATGTTTCAGGGATGAAAGCCCAGTGAAGACAGACTTTCTTCAGCAATTAATTGAAGACAAGACAGAGGCTGCATTTTCTTACTATGAATTTTTGCTTCACATTCAACAACAAATTTGTAAGTGAGAGGAAACAAACAGAAGGAGGAAAAAAATCCCTGTATTTTTTAATCCAAGTGTCACCTTGTCAAGCGAACCACACTGGAAGTGATTAAAACCAAGCATAGATTCTTTAGTATCCATATACAAAGACGTTCAGTTGTGAAAGGACAAAATACACATTGCTAAATGGATTTTACAATTCTGCTTTGTTATAAAAACGATGGACATGACACAATAGTAGTAGTATGTTTTCAGTTAGTTTTTTATGCACTTCCAGTAGTGCAACACTACAGCGTTTCTCCGTATTTCAAGCTGGTGGTCATATGTGGCAGTGTGGAATAGTATTTATTAATGAAATCCAAAACCAGAGAGTCTCTTTCTCAGCATCTCAACATTTAAGAGCCTTTCCAGATGATCTCCAGCAGAGATGCCAAAAGGCAGTGCTCCATGTTGTTTATATCAATTTGTAAAAGAGATAATTCACTTTTGAAAGCTTAACCATTTTCTCTGTGAAGAATATATACAATTTTAATACAACTTATAAAATTGTAGAAATATGTATAATGTACAGAAGTGTTAACATTTGTAAAAAAAAAATTTTTTTTTTTAAGGAGTATGAATTGCTTGATGGCCGTGGTGCTGGGAGGTCAGTTACAAACCACTTATCTCGGTTAAACAATAAGAGTTGGCTAGCACATATTAAAACAGATCTGAATCCACATAGGAAAAATGCAACTTTGTAACTCATTTAATCGGTCCCTTATGTGGATTTATTTATGATCAGCTAATTAAAAGTATTTGCTTGATCATGTGTTTTTATCTCTATGTGATTACTGCATTTTAAAAACCAATACCAAATTTGTCGTGCTGTATTAAAGAAGGTTTATTACTTTATAGGCCTCCTGAAAAGAGGCTAGTGGGAATATTGAATTCAGGTTGGGATTTTGATTAGAGATATATTGGCTTGTGACACTAACTAGCGGCAGCTAGTATCTTTTAGCCTTAGATTACTTTAGGTATTTTTGCAACATTTTAGGGTCCTGGATTCTCTGTTTTGTCATCCCATCACCATAGGATGTTAAAGAAAAACCAATTGAACTTAAAAATGGATGTTTCTTCAGCAGGTGATCCAAATATTTGCCCGCATTTTTCTTTTCATTTTTAAAGTTAAAACTTTCGTGCACATGAAGTCTAAATAGGGCTATTGATTACACATTTGCATTTTATTTCTGAAACACAAGTACAGCTATAGAATGAAATTTTATTTTTAAAATGACTTCTTTTTAAAAAAAACAGCTAACAAGCACTAATATATTCTGAGAAATATCTATGTCCTAGTATGTTTCTACTTATAACAATGTCCTTATGCAACAAAGTTGTTCAATTACTTTTCAATTTTGGTTTTATGAATACGCAGTCGGGATACTACATTTTCAGTAACTTTTACTAAAGCATGCCAAAGGATTTCTCAGAAAAAAAATCAACTGCTTCTATTTGTGGCATATTTTAGGTATCTATCAAAGTATGTTGCATCAGAATAAGAAGCATTCACCTAATACTTTAAACTTAAAATAATTCATGTTTTGAAAAGATATAATGCCTCAAATATTTTGGTAAACATATTGACTGAAAATGTATGTTATATGGAACCATAAATGTGTCAGATGCATTAAGTGTGATTTTAAGAATTATTTTTTGAAAAAAAATTCTTGTGGAGCTTAGTACTGAATATTCAGAAACATCCAAAGCCATGATGTATGGTAGATGAATCTGTAAAACAATTCTTAAAGTTTTATTCTTCTATATTTTATATATAAAAATTGTCATGAAAAGTACACGAGCAGTATTTTGCTTTGGGTAAGATGTTTGCTGCCTCTTAGATGGAAAATATTTAGCACTTGTAATCCTTCCTTATAGTTCAGTATAACAAAAAACATAAAGATGGGTGAGTTCAGGTAAGTGCTACATATAGTTACTAGCTGAAATTCAGCATTATGAATTGTAAGAGTTTTTGCAAATAAAGGTTGGTCAATGCCTTGTGATTAAACATTAAAAAAAGAGAAAATTGATAGAATGTTTTAGTTTTATTTATGATGCAGTCCTATATCTTACACCATATTCTACTCAGGAAAAAAATGCTCCATTGAATTCAATAGTAGCTCCTCATTTAATTCTACAGACTTGCTGCCTCAATTCTGCTTATGCAATTTCTTTTACCACTTTTACTGGTTCTTAGGGAATTATGCAGAAAAGATGAAAAGTTTGTGATAGTTTTATAAGTATCTCAAGTCAGTGTTTTTAACTTTCTCCATAACTGCTAAACTAGGGGTCCCCAACCCACAGGCCCTGGCCCACTACTGGGTTGCGGCCTGTTCAAAACCCAGCAGTGGGAGAAATGGGCACACATGTGCCCATGAAGCTCCATTGCACAAATGGAGGGTGTGCGTGAAGCTGCATTTGTGTGAATGGAGCTTTGCGCGCAAATGCCATCCACTCACGTGAATGGTATTTCATATACGAGCACAGGCACCTTCCACTTGCGTGAGTGGAGTTTCATGCATGAGTGCAAGCACCCTCTGCTCATGCGCAAAGCTCCATTTGCACGAATGGAGGGCGCCATGGCCACTGTTTGTATATTTGCAGTTTTGTGCATGTGCGCTTGCCACTCATACCCCCCCCCTCCGCCCTGGGCTGGGTTGCCAAGTTGGAAAGGTTAGGGACCGCTGTGCTAAACCAAATATTTGAATAAAATACTCCACAGGTTGATGAAAGTGGAGAATGGTGAGTGAATATCAACTCTTTGGTTTCCATTTTGAAGCATACCCTGGACTAAAATCTGGTTGCCCAGTAGACTGCAAACCCAACCTGTATGGTTGATTTATGGTTAATGGTTAGTTATGGGCTAATTTTATGTGTGTATGTGGACATAGCCACTGCCTTGAACACAGTTTTGAAAATTAATGAACCTTTTTTTAAAAGGTTCTGTACTGGATGGATTCTTGCTTGATTTGAATTTAGTATTGATAATAAGCATGTTGACTGTTCAGATCATTTCATATGTATAATCTTCATGCTAGCACAGTATTTTCTGCTAAAATTATAAATGTGAATCAATGGATAAATGAGCTAGGAAGGTAGTTTATCCTGCTAGCTGCCATAAGAGTCATCAGTTCTATTGCCTCTGAATCATTGTGATTGAGGTGGTGAGATTTATGCTTTGTAGTGGCATGCAGTGAATGCATTCACATAGGGCAGGAAAGCAGGGGCTTTTTAGCTTGTTAACTGAATAGATTTTGTGTATTTAGAGAAATTACATAAGCAGTATTTGAAAGAATTCTTAGCTGAAGTTAATTAAGTTGAAGCTAGTTTACGTTCATTGAAAGAAGGTAGAAAAATTTACTTAAATCCAAATGTATTGGTTTTACTAATATATGGCTGGCAAAATGGAGGGTTGTCATTATCACATTACATGTGCTTAAAGTAAAGGAGTTTCTAGTAATAACTGTATATTAATGGTAAAATCTCTTGTTTTTTGTGTTTGAAAAGTATGTATCCGTGTGTGAAGCTTTTGCAAGTCTCAAAATGGAGATACAAGTATAGATATTCAGGCTGATCTGAGCTACTGACTTTATTCTCTGTATTGAGACAAGTAGAAGGGTTAAGCTTGCATATTAAAGAGAATCTTAAATGCCACTTATTTATTGTTGTCTTTTTCCAAGAATGTAAAGTATGCATGTTTTAAGTCGAAAATGTCTGATCCAGAGTCAGCAACGTGTTGTATAATTAAATGGGTATCTATCTTTTGGTTTTCCTGGTCCAGTTCTAACTAGTGCATATTCTAGTGGATTGAGAACATAGATATATAATAATGAGTGGAACCCTATGTGCAATTCTGTTCATCGGATGTGTTGTTCAGCCAAAAGTATAACACCAAAAACTATATCTATAATCTTTTTGGAGTTAGTACATATATTTGGAATTTTGTGGGTATGTTTGATTATTGGAAGGCAGACTATAGACTATATGTATCTACATTTTGATCTGAGATGTTTCATGTAGATAAACATAATTGATGACAAGTGAATCCAGTGGATGCAGCTTTGAATGTGAATTGATCAAAATGGCTGAAAATACAGTAAAAGTGTCACACACTGGTTCAATAGAATATTTAAAATTTGTGTATGGGGGTGGGGTGATGTCCTTCATACATTATGTAGTTAGCTGTTTTGGAAGTTCTGTTAATATATCTTTTTTTAGGCTATTGCCCAAAATGTACAAATAGTCCTTGACTTATAACCACAATTGAGCCCAAAATTTGTGTTGTTAAGTGAGACATTTATTAGGTGAGTTTTGCTCCATTTTATGACGTTTCTTGTCATAGTTAAATGAATCACTGCAGTTAATGAGTTAGTAATCTGGTGGTTAAGTAAATCTGGTTTTCTCATTGCTTTTGCTTATGAAAAGGTTGCAAAAGATGATCATATGATCTTGGGACACAGCAGTGGTCCTAAGTATGAAACAGTTGCCAACCATCTGAATTTTGATCGCATGATCATGTGGATGCTGCAAAGATTGTAACTGAAAAACAGTCATAAGTCACATTTTTCAGTACATTCTAATTGAATAGTCACTAAATGAACTGTTGTAAGTTGAGAACTACCTGGGTATGTCAGGAAAAATAGTTTGAGAATACCAATCCCCCAAACCCCCCAAAATGTACAGCTTTCATTTGTATTATCAAATCATTGGCAAGTTTCTATTTTGTTGCAAGTAATACTCAGCATATATTGGAATATAAATGATCTGGAACAGTATGTGGACAATCCCTTTACACTGATTGGTTGATGGTGAATCCTAGAGAATTAATTCCCAAATGGAAAACTGCATGAAAATGTGACAGTTCCCACAAAGATTTGTTTAAAGTCAGAGTCTGAAGTTTGAGAAACTACTTACATTACTACTATGTTCTGAGTGTAATGGGTGCTTTAAAAAATGTCTAGGACTTGTGGATATAAAATAGGTTTAAGAATGCATAGTGCCTGCTGAATCTATAATTGTACTAGGCATGGGTCTTTTATTTTGATCATTTTCAGATATAGAATTGTACAAAATAATGTATTGCACACATAATAGCACTATTTATAGAACTTTATGTACATATTTAGAACTATTCCCAAATTGTGTATATTAGTTGGGAAAGAATATATGTTGAAACTGAGTAAAAGTGACTTGCCTAAGGTTAGTTTGTATATTCAAAGCAAATTATTTGGAAGAGAAGAATTATACAAGATATATCAAGTCGGTTCCCACAGGCCAAACACAAAATGTTTTTGTTTTGTTTGCTTAGAGAAAGAAATGCGCCAAACAGAATAGTTTAGAAAAAAATTGCAACCAGTTCAATATTTTATGTAATAAATTTTTATGGAGCCTAATTTTGGTTTGACATATATGTATATGTATGTATGTATGTATATATCAAACTATATATGTATGTATGTATGCATGTATGTATGTATGTGGAAATGTCTGCGTGTCTTATGGAGCGAATATTGCCAAAGCCTTCTCCCCACCTGCCAGCCTCCACACATTTTTTGCCTCCGCACACCCCGTTTTTAGCCTCCACGCATCCCATTTTTGACCTCTGTGTGTCCTGGGCCATGCAGAGGTCGATAAAGGGGTGTGCAGAGGCCAAAAATGGGAGTGCGTCTTATGAAGCGAAAAATACAGCAGTTCTGCCTAAAAGTATTATTTGTTGTTCTAAGCCAATGCTTTCCATGATTTCTAGAGATTTTATGAAGATATAAAGAATTTGGGGCTCAGTTCAATAATACAGGAGGATGCTGTATTAGTATATAGATTATATTAATATATGAAATATTTTCCATTTTCAAATAGTTACATATATTATCTGATTTAAAGTATAATCTCTGTAAAATAGCCAATATTAATCAGAGATGTAGATAGGCATCAAAGGTCTCTGTTTAGGGGAATGAGTTAAACCTCTTCACACATAGGTTGAAATGTTCCCATTTAATACCAGTTACTATGGAAACAGATTGCTAGTTTATTAAATCTTGATGCTTCAATTGCCAGCGTCCTGGAGAGCAAGGAGCCCATTACTTTTCTGCATTTGGGAAGCTGGCATGCTCTAAAGTATATCTCTATTCCCCAGCATCATTTTTTATTTCCAATAAGTTTTGAAAGCTTCCTTTATAAATGATGTGCAACTGTAGAGCAGTTACTCAGGAAAGATAAAGTAGATATGGAGCTGAAAGAAATGCTTGGATACAGTCTGGACAGTGTTTGCATCAGATAGCTACTTTGTGGATGGATAAATTCCATTCTGTGAGATTACCTTTTCAAATTTCCAACTCAAAAGCTCAAGAACCATGTGACATTATATTCTTCTTGATATAGCCATTTATACCTTTATAGTATGTTTTAATGAGAAAGGCCAGGGGAAAATATTTCAGCTTGGTGTAGGTTCTCCTATTGCTATAATTTGGGGAGAAATATTAAACCTCAAAGGCATCTTTTTAACATATAACTGGTCTCTGAAGAGCTACAAGATAGGTCCTCAATTACAATTATAGTTCAGCCCTAAATTTTCATTGCTAAGTAAGACAGTTGTAAAGTGAGTGTTGCCTCATTTTATGACCTTGCCACAAGGTTGTAGAATGAGTCATTGCCGTCATTAAGTTCATAACATGCTTATTAAGTGTCTGGCTTCCCCACTGACTTTGCTTGTTGGAAGATCACAAAAAGTGATCTCAGGATCCTGAGACATGGCAACCTTCATAAATATATGCCAGTTGCCAACCATCTGAATTTTGATCATCACATTGGGATTCTGTGAAAAAACAGCCATAAATCACTTTTTTCAGTGCTGTTGTAACTTTAAATGGTCAGTTGAGGGGTACCTGTAACTGTTTTTTTTTAAGGTACTCCTATTTCCAATATAACTTTCTCAGCATTTATTTATTTAATTTTAAGGTTTATATGACTGCCTACCTCACAACAATCTATAAAAATATGGCTAAAAACAAAAGTTCCCTTTTTATCCTCCCTCCCTCATGAGACGAAATGTCATCCCAGTTCAACCCTTATCTTAGCCCTGTGATAGCAAACCTATGGCACGTATGCCACAGGTGGCACACGGAGGCATATATGCCAGCAATGCAGCCCTCAGCTCATCCAACGCACAACAGCTGATTTTCGCCTTTCCGGGGGGCAAGATTACACCATTTTCGCCCTCCCCAGGCTTCAGGAAAGCCTCCGGAGGCCAAAAATTCCTCTTCACCGTGCGAGGTTCGCTCACGCATGCACCGGGGAGGGGGTCACTTGTGCATGCGCAGGTGGGGATCACTTGCGTAGATGAGTATGCCCGATAGCGCGCGCTCACATACAGTTTTGGCACACCTTTAGAAAAACGTTAGCCATCACTGTCTTAGCCCAATATGTGGAAGAATAACTAAGTCTTTGCAGCCTTCTGGGAGACTGAATATCATGAGGGAGGTTTCTTCTTAACATAAGTTCAAGATCCCGTCAGATAACTGTAGTTGGCACATAAGATGCATTTGTTTAAAGACTTCTCTGCCAGCCATTCTTCCAGCAGGAACTCTGAATCCAAGAAGATCCCCAAATTGCATGCCAGATCTGTCTAGGGAAGATCATTTCTCTTGATTCCGGAGGATCCAAAGTCACTGGAAGCTTCCATGGCTGAATATGAATTTAAACTGGAGATTCCTCCAGACCAACTTCAATATCCCAACCGTTATTTCACTCTGATTATTAGACTCCTTTTAAACAGCAACATTGCTGAGTAGGCATTTTGCCTGTACTGCAATTTGAGAGGCATGGCTGCTTTGGTGCCAATTCTCGAATCCCACACAGCCATTTTAATGGCATTTAATGCCCTGGAATTGGAGGAGTAGCATGCTGCTGCATGGCATTCTCTGCCACTTTTTCTCTCTTCCCAACCTCTTCAGCCACCCATGCTGAAAAACACTGGTGGAGTAAAAAGAGGATGCAGCTCTTCTGTCAGTTTTCCCATCTTGAGAAGTGAATCACCACATCAAAAGTTCAGAGAACCATGGCCAAGCTTCTCTCCTCCAACCCCAAGTGGCAGAATTTATTTATTTAGAAGATTTTTATGACCAACTTATTCTCAGCGACTGAGTGGCTTACAACCAATAAAAAACCCAATATAAAAGACTAAAAAACAGTAATCTCCATCCTAGCAACAACGAACAATTAACCAGCCACTTGATGGGCTCTGTCCCACATGGTTCTCCAGGCCTGTTTTTCTGCGGATCACCAAAATTTTCTCAGGGACCACTAGAGCTCCACGAACCACCAGTTGTTGACCACTGGTTTAGGGCTCGATAACTAGCACTTTTAAACTCCAGGCATTCGTATTTATTTCCTGTTGCAAGATTGTAAATATAAAGGGCGTGCCATTTTTCTTTTAATTTCCTGCCAGTTAATATGCCAACCTACACAGGCTGCTGCAGGCTTCCTCTTAATATTGTACCGCCCTGAATGTACAGCAGTTGGCAGCCGCCGGATCTGACTATTATTCACTATTTGAGTCAGTTATTCTCTAAGTCTGCCCTGAGGCAGCCGAATGGGGAGATCACTAGAAAGCGAAGCCTTTCTGCCGCTTTGAGCAGAAAAGCGCGCACTTCGTTAACTTTGCTTTGTGGCTCTGATCAAGGCAATTCCTTTTTTCGAAACCCCCCCCCTTTTTTTCTTACAGCCAAATCTTTTTTTAAAAAAAACAACTTTTCGGGGTGACCGCCGGGTTACTTGACGGGCAGAGCCAGACACGTTTTGTCACAACGTCTCTCGCGTCACGCCTTGCGATTTTCAACAAACCCAGTTTAACAAAAGTCTTTTCCAAAAGACAAAAGGCTGCCTTCGGAAGGCGGGAGAAGCAGGAAGAAGTTCGAACAGTGGTTCCCAACGTGGGGCCCATGCTCCTGGGAGGGGGGGGGATTTGATTTTTAATGGGGGCAATTTGAACCTTGTTTAACACCACATTAATAGCAGTAGAGTTCACTTTTTGAGTAAAGTAAGAATTATATGTCACCGGGGGGGGGGGGAATTCAGGATTTTAGTCATGCTTGTGTGGGACATGGCCAAAAAAAAGATTGGCAACCACTGAGTTACAACCTCCGCTTCGAAACGGGACACTCACAAATGCACTTTCTCTCTCCCCCCCCCCCACTTTCCTTCAGCCCCTCCCGGTGCGCGCCTTTCGCCGATACGGAGTCCAACGCGAGGAAGCCACGCCCTTTCCTTTAAAAGCCCGCCCCCTTGTCTTTGGCGGCGGCGTTGGCGTTCTGGGAGAGCCGAGCTCGCTCCGGCAGATTCTCGCGCTCGAGCTCAGATCGCCTTCTCCGCGGGTGCGCGCTCGCGCCCCGATGCCTCTTCCCTCCTTAGCAGCCTAGCTAGACCTAAGGGAGAAAAGAGACGCCGGGGAGAAAGGCGAGAGATGCTCTCTGCGGCGGCTCACCGGTTGCTCCGAAGCTGCCGAGGGAGATGGCGAGCGCCGCCTCGGATTCCGATGCTTCCGGGGCCTCCTTTTGCCGAGGGAGGACGAAGTCCGGGCGGCTGCCTTCTCCTCCCAAGGGTCCGGTTGCAGGTGAGGCTTAAGAAACTCGCCCTCTCGACAGCGGCGGCGGCGGACTTCGTTGCTTTACTTCCCTTTCCAGACCTTAGGGAAGAGTTTTTGGATTGCAACGCTTCCCCGCCGGGCAAGGCGAGAGTTGGGCGAGGGAGGGAAGCTGGCAGGCGGCGTTAACTTCTTCTGGCGTCGCTTCAAGGAAAGCCTGGAACTTCAGCCGCCCTTCTGGAGATGCTGGGCGAGAAGGAGGCGAAAGTTGTAATTTGGCTTGTGGATGGACGATGTGGGGTAAAATGAGCCTCCTTTCGCTTTCTCCGCTCCAGTCCCCGTCCTTCTCTCTCCCCCCCCCCTCCCGCTCCCCAAGATTTGGCGAATGCAATCCTGGTTTCTCCCTGGAGGAGAAGCCCGGCGGGTCCTCTTGGCGGCGGCTTCTCTCTCCTTGCAAACATTTCGGGTTGTTTCGCTGATGGAATTCTTGGATGTTCAGGAAAAACAGCGTCCTTGTTCAAAGTTTTCCTTTTTTTAAAAAAAGTTGATCTGCTGGCATTAAAACACAAGACGCGTCTCTGGTACATTTTCCACAGAGTCTGATCAGGAAAAAAAACATCCTGTTTAGAGAGTCTTCAGTCATGGCCTCACTGGTGCTTTGTAGTCCATTTTTAGAATAATTTAGACCGTCTTGTGTTGAGCCAAGGGGAAATAACGACAACCTCAATGGTGTCCAAGGGATGATGCGCTTAGTTGGCATAGCTCATGAAAATAATGAAGAGCTGAGCTTTATTCGACCAGTGCTCCGAATTGCAATATAGGCAGGCATTGCTTAATCCAGGCTCTTGTGAATTCAGCTGGTGTGGGTGGTAAACTCAGAAAATTAGATTAATTCAATAAACCATGGTTTGTTACCTGGTGGTTGGTGTGTTGTACAGAGCTAAGCCCTAGAAGATTTCGTTCATTGCTGATTAAAAAAGGATAAGTAGCCCATATTGTTTTCTCAGGTGCTCAGAAACTCTAGTTTTAGACCAGGAGTCCTCAAACTTTTTAAACGGGGGACCAATTCATGGTCCCTCAGACTGTTGGTCCCTCAGACAGGCTGGGGGGGGGTCATGGCTAGGTGGTCATGTGACTGAGTGGGTATGGCCAATTTAGCAGTCCCTTAAACAATACACACAAATTAAACTTTAATTTGTTATGCTCCTGGGGGTGGAAAGCAGGCTAGTGAAGGGATATGGCTGCCTTGGGTATTTTGTGTGTGTGTGTGTGTGTGTCCGTCCCTCCCTCTCTCTGGAGGCTGGGGAGGCCAAAGACGGGCCCATTTTGGCATCCTTGGCCTCCAGAACCACTCTGCCACCCCAAAACAGGCACATTTGGCCTCCCGAGGCCTCCGTGCATCCCATTTTTGGCCTCCTCGGCCTCCAGAAGTTGGGTGGGCGCCAGTGGGTAGGTGGGGCAATATGGGTGGGGCAGTCTTGTCCCACAGGGTCCAGATTAATGGCTTCAGCGGGCCATAGCTGGCCCACAGGCCGTAGTTTGAGGACCCTTGTTTTAGACTGTAGTCTCTGCTTTCTGCTAAAACTAAAATAATTCATAATTTTAGCCCAACTTCTTTCTATTAATGTACTTACAAGAGAAAATTCAATAGTATACTCCTTTTGCAACAGACTGAATAACGAAGAAATGTAGAATGTATTATATTTGACTAACATTTTAATCTGAAGCTCTGCCTGTTTTTGAAGGATCTCCTTATTAATTAGGCTCCAGAATACTTAGAAATTCTATGACAGTTACTTGAAGGGACTAATCACTTCAGCTGAAGAACATTATGATCAAAGGAAAAAAGGAAATTTAGAAAAAGATGCTGCAATATTAAGGGTACCAATGAATCACTATTCAAATTACTACAATTTTCCATCATAATGTTACCTGCTTTTAAAACCCAATGATTCCAAACTGATCAACAGACGTTCCCTTGTCAACAATTTTATGTACACATTTTGCTAAATCTTCATACAGTCTAATAGGAATTCTCTGTTTGTGAGCCTCTAGCCATTTTAGGAACAAATGTATTTGGCAGAGGTTATTGAATTGTTTGGGGAAAATAGGCTAGAAAATAATATTTGAACCTTTTTGGCTCCACATATCTACCCACTATATCAACCACTTTTGAAATATAAACAATTGTCCATGAAAATGAATCCTCTAAATAAGATCTTACATGTGAGGTTCCTGGTGAGTCTCCTTGCTATTACAGCAGGCTTTTAGCTAATATTAAAAAGGTTAATCTTGTTAACATTAATCCAAGATTTTATATATCCAGCATTTTTGGGATGCTTCATTATGTAACACAAGATGGAACCTGTCATAACAGTTTATTATCTGTAGGTTTCTACTTGATTTTCTCTTAGTATTGAGTAGTTCATTAGTCAAGAGTAGAATTGGAAGGGCAAGCCCTACGATGGTCATATTTGCTTACAGATTTATTACCGGGATGAGCATCTTGCAGTCCCAAGGCTCCAGGCCTACTTTTTTCTAACCCTTTAAATTCCTTTTGACTACAATTGCTGAAAATAACAGATTTTCCTCCCAGTTTGAGATGGAAAATATGTGAGAATTTGTTTTGAATATCAGAACTAAATGTATATAGAGATTCTCAGTCATCCAGATCATAGTTGTCCCAAAGGTGCTTTTTCAAGAGGCAACTGGACTTTCTGGTTTTTCTTTGAAGACATTTCACTTCTCATCCAAAAAGCTCCAGAGAGCTGAAGAAGCTTCTCAGATGAGAAGTGAAACGTGTTCAAAGAAAAACCAGAAAGTCTAGTTGTCCCTTGAAAAAAACCATTTGGGACAACTAAATGGGAGTCGAAGCACTTTTGCACATAAATCAGATTTTCCAGTTGTTCTTGTCTTTTATATCAGCAGTCCCCAACCTTTCCGGCTCTCTAGACTAACAGGTGAGGAGATGGAATGGTTCTGCGTGAGCGCAGTTCCATTTGCGTGAGCAGAGGACACACACCTGCCACTCACGAATAGAGGCTTGTGCTCACCCGCTGCACATTCAGATGGCGCTGCACACACGCTCAACTGCCACTTCTATGGCCTGCTTCCAAACAGGCCATGGTCCAGTACTGAGCTGCAGTCAAGGGGTTGGAGGCCCCTGTTATAGATAGTATTTGGGAAGGGAAGTTATTTGTTATCTCAATTAAATGATATGCATGTGTGATAGTCTACAGCAGATAATTTGGATAATTAATTTCTGCTTTTTCCTGAGTTAATGCTTATAGGTCAGTGATCAACAATATAGCACTTCTAACGACAGATCCCCAAAATTACTATTATATCCTTACGTGAGCTCATGTAATATTTTATGGAAAGAATCTGAACTACTGACAACCAAAGGAAATTGGCGGTAGAGAAGAGTAGAAGGCATTCAAGATGGGCTGGACTTAGATCTCTTGTGGGCTCATGGTTGTTAGTGCATTTGACTCCTCCCTTGAGCTCAACTTGGTCATCTCCTATAAAACCACCGAGACTGGGTTTTCTCAAGGTTCTGAGTAATGGCCCAATCAATTCAGGACTCTGAGGCTGTGGCTTTTCTCAAAGATCCATTTTATTGGGTACATTATATTGACACATTCAAATGTGAAACCAACTCTAAATATTTCCCACATTTTGATATAATAAAAAGAATAGATATCACCCACCCTACTAGTGTCATTGGTCACATTAGCCAAGCAGGTGGATGGCAGGCTGCTCAGCTACTCCCTCCAGCAGTTATGAGCTCTCGTTGATACAACCTTGATTCCCACCAGCCTTATTGCCCCATAGCTTCCCCTACCCCCATATCTATGGCGACTAAGACACGGAAGTAAAAGGAACATGAAACAATACAATAGCAGAGTTGGAAGGGACCTTGGAGGTCTTCTAGTCCACCCCCTGCCTAGGCAGGAAACCCTATACCGTTCCAGACAAATGGCTATCCAACATCTTCTTAAAGACTTCCAGTGTTGGGACATTCACAACTTCTGGAGGCAAGATGTTCCACTGATTAATTGTTCTAACTGTGAAGACTTCAAGTCAAGACTTTGAAAAGCATTGCCCTACAACACTGAAAGTACTATAAAATGATCAAGCGGTAAAGAATACAGAAATGGAAGGTGGAGGTAGGGAAAGTCACAAGAAACACTCACTTATGTTATAGCATTAAGGAGCTGTATTTTTTTAATATGAAAATGCTTAGCTGTTTATGTTTAACTGCCTAACTATGGAAAAGTTTCAACAGCTCTGGAAGTGAAATGTTTGACAGTTTTTTGTTCTTAGCCCTATAGTGCTTGTAAGAAATCTCCAAAAATATGATTTTGTAAATCACCAGTTTCATGCTTTGTTCTGTTCCTGGAAATTAGACTATGCTGTTCCAACTTCTCTTGATT